AGAAGCAGCATTTGTGAGGTGGCCTGATTCCCTGATCATCCCACCCCACCCCATGGTGATACAATAAAAAAATGAAAAGTTGCTTCTTAGGCTGGGCACGGTGGCTTGCGCCTGTAATCCTAGCATTTTAGGAGGCCGAGGCAGGTGGATCGCTTGAGCTCAGGAGTTCGAGACTAGCCTGGGCAACATGGCGAAACTCCATCTCTACAAAAAATACAAAAATTAGCCAGGTGTGGTGGTGTGCACCTGTACTTCCAGCTACTTGGGGGTCTGAGGCAGGAGGGTAGATTGAACCTGGGAGGTCGAGGTTGCGGTAAGTTATCGTACCACTGCACTCTAGCCTGGATGACAAAGTGAGAACTTGTCTTTAAAAAAAAGTTTCTTACTGAAGAGTTAATGTGGCAAATACTGCTGGTTACTTACCCAATAGCTCTTCCTTACTGCCACCACACACTTTGCTTTCTTCCAGGCTAACAGAATCCTAATTTGGTTTCAGTACAGGTAGCAATGCGTTTTGGCAAGTTAGGACCCTCCATTGCCCCAGAGAATGAACTGTAACTGGTCCAAGGTAACCACTGTACTCCCTTTTTCCTGTGGTAATGATTGGTCTCAGGGTGGACATGTGACGTTATTCTGGCCAATAGTACAAAGAGGGAGTCTTCCAGGGGCTTCTGGGAAAGATTTCTCCTTGATAAAAAAAGAGAGGTGAGCTAAGAGAAGTCTTCATCCCTTCCTTCCTGCTTTCAGACTTTATTTTAGATGAAGAAAAGTGATGTTTGGAGATGTCGCAGCCATCTTGTCACCACAAAGGAAGGGCTAAGAGAATCTCTCAGAAACGGACCCAAGCCCTGACATCGTGTTGCTAGCTACCCTGGAACCAGGGATGGAGTGTAACCAGAAGTATGATCCAGCAGCCATGGTTGTTTAAGGCTAGGCTTTGTTCTGACTGGTGAGGCATTGGTTCTTATTTGTCAATGTCTGGACCAGATTGGTTGTTAAGTATTTTGAACACCCCTTGGTTGGAATCAATGCCTCTGGATTTATTGGTATGTAATGAAAATAAACACTTTTTATAAAAACCACTTAATTGGATATTGGATATTCAGTTACTTGCAGCCAAAAGCTTTCTAACTATGTAGTTTGGGTTCACAGAACCCAGTCACATCTGAACTGCATCTGTGGGGACTTCACTTGCACAGCTTTGGGGGACTTCAACCCTGTTAGCATCTGTCTTATTCCTTCCTCACCACCACTCCCACCCCCTACCCATTGTTAGGTAGCAATAATGTCTTTCTGTGTTTATTTTATATATCGGGTGGTGGTGGGAGGGTAAAGGCAAACTATCTAATATCTGTGGCCTGGAAAAGGAAGCTATTGTAGCTCTATCAGTATACTGTATCTGCTCTTCTTGGAAGAGTCGAGATAGAAATTTATCCTCTCTGGCAGAATGTAGGAGATTTAACTAACTTCTACCTAATCTGTCCATTTGCTCTTTTGCTTTACCATTTGATTAGCCATATTGATAATGTCTTTTTTAGGAATGAGGCTTGGGGAGCCATCAGTTACCCAGTCAACCAATCAATCTTGTTGATGCATGCCATCAGTAACAAGAGGAGACTTCAGGGAGAGGGTCTGTGGGCACACTCGCTGCTTTACATTGTAATTTTTTTTTCTGTGTCCATCTTCCCTGTTAGACTATAAGCAACTTAATGGCAAGAACGATATCTTCAATCTCTATATTCCTAGGTTTAGCATAGTATCTGGCCCATACAGTGTGATTAATAGATGATTTGTTGAAAGAAGAAAAATAATGAATCACATATGAAATTATTTTAAAATGCATGTTCTACCAAGACAAGATTGTTTTTATGGACGCAGAAACACCTTCCTATGTGGCCAGCTAAAAAAAGTTCTAATTAGGGATATTGGAATATCTTATCCCATTTTAAAACCAACACATTCAGAAATACAGTCAAAGGGAATCAGCCCATCTTTCCACATGTTTTTTGTGGCACCGTTTGTGCCTAGAAAGCCTTTTTTTAATGGGAAAGATGATGTTTCTTAAAGCAACTCTCCTACTAAATATGGTGATGAGAAATGGAAATATCATTCTCAGGGTTAAAAAAGATTTTTCATGACTTCACTAAGTAGTGTGTTTGAACTAACTTTAAAAGCTGACTTCGAGAAACTAGATAAAATATATTTCTATCTCTGCTAACCATCTTTCAACATGTCAGCTCATCTGAGGCCTCCCCGAGATCCGTGAGAGACAGCATGTAAACTGTTCTTTAGATGGGCATCTAAAAACTCATCAAATAGCAAGGTATGAAAAACAAAATCACCTCCAAAACTTTCAAATTGCATTGATCTGTGGCATAAAACCCTCACCACAGGAAGAGAAATGATGGATTTGAGACCCGCAGGAGGATTCGTTTAAAGTGCTTTGTGTTGTGTGTATGTGTGTGTTTTATTTTAATTTATGTATGGAATTGCCCGGGAGTAGTAAATAGACTTTATTTGCTATATTTCAAGGAAGATAAAATTATCAGGACTGTCTATGTATTTCAAAGCCAAGAAAAACAAAAACAGCTTTGAAGCGTCTCCTGGATTTTTTTGTCCTAATCTTCTAAGAGATGGTCTTGATAATGTTTATTCTTTTCTTCTTTCTAAACCGATTGAAAGTACCATTTTTCTCAGTTAAAATAGCAATCTGATTCTTAACTAGGTCAGGCAAAGCACCCATTGAGCACCACAGATTATTTAAATGATTGCAAAAGGGCAGTAGGCATTTCTGAATAGCATTGCCACACTTCTTTCCAAATCTCTCTCCTCTCCTTCTCTCTAAGCCTGTGTGGCTCCCACCGGGAACACACCCTGGTCTTTGAAGGGTGGGTTTTCCATTTGAATTCATACCCACCATCTGGACAAGTTTTTCTGCTGCGTTTCCCCTATAACCCAAAGAGAGAAGCCGTTTTCCATCTGCTTGGAGATAATGTGTAGAGTTTTTGTTTCCACTGGTGGGCACGGGGAAGGAGATATGCATACTGTATTATACGCAGCCAGTGATGATGGAGAGGCAGGGCTTTGTTTTAAATTTTACATACTCAGAAACATCCATTTCTGACAAAATCCCAGCTTGTGAATCCCCCATAGCCTGGAGGAGCAATTGGCAAACTTTTTCTGTAAAGGGCCAGATAGTAAATATCTTAGGCTGTGTAGGACATTTGGTCTCTGTTGAAACTGCTCAACTCTGCACAAAAGTGGCCGTAAACAATATGGATTTGAATAGGCATGACTGTGTTCAGTAAAGCTACGTACAGAACCAGACGGTGGGCCTTGGTCCCTGGCTCAGAGCATCTCTCTGTGCTTCAGGTTGGAGGCTCACATCTTGGTTTTCTGCAAGATGGCATTCTACCTGCCCTCGTGAGGGGGAGGTGAGCACAGCAATGGCTCAGATCCACTTAGGCAAGATCATACCGCCATCCTGCCTGTGTCCCAGGACACGCCTTTGTACAATGGAGACCTGGTGAGCATTATAGGGTGTAAACCCTCAAATATATGAGCTTGCCAGCTGCCCTTGTTAAGGCCCTGAGTGTCCCATCTCAGTCATGGTGATCATCTTCTCTCTCATCGAATATTTCATTCTTTGGCCTCTTCTCCATACTCTCAACTAGGGCTAGCTTTCTGAAGTACTGTTTGGTCATGGAGCTCTTGTTTGAACAATGGTTGATGAAGAAAGTCCATCATGTCTAATCACGGCATTCAAGGCTCCTTATAAGCTGGCACCAGGGCTGACTTATCTATTAGGCACAGTAGGTATAGCAGTTGGGGTCCATGATGCTTTTAGGCCCTCAAGCATGTTTTGACTTTAATTTCCTTTAAAGTAGAAGAAAAATGAGTACAATAATAGTAATAATGAGCATATAATAATGAATCCAGGCTGGGTTATATTCTCTTTTTTTTTTTTTGAGTCTGAGTCTCACTCTGTCACCCAGGCTGGAGTGCAGTGGCCCAGTCTCAGCTCACTACAACCTCTGCCACCCAGGTTCAAGTGATTCTCCTGCCTCAGCCTCCCAAGTAGCTGGGATTATAGGCGCCCACCACGGCCAGCTAATTTTTGTATTTTTAGTAAAGGCGGGGTTTCACCATGTTGGCCAGGCTGGTCTTGAACTCGTTACCTCAGGAGATCCGCCTGCCTTAGCCTCCCAAAATGCTGGGATTATAGGCGTGAGCCACCGCACCTGGCCTATATTCTTTTTGTAATTAAAAAATTTTTTTTTAGAGACAGAGTCTTGCTCTATCACCCAGGCTGGAGGGCAATGGCATGATCATAACTCATTGCAGCCTTGGATTCCTGGGCTCAAATGATCCTCTTGCTGCAGCCTCCTGAGTAGCTGGGACCACAGGCATGCATCACTATGTCTGGATAATTTTTAAAATGTTTTGTAGAGACAGGATCTTGTGACTGGATGCGGTGGCTCATGCCTGGAATCTCAGCACTTTGGGAGGCCGAGGCGGGCAGATCAATTGAGGTCAAGAATTCGAGACCGGCCTGGCCAACGTGACGAAACCCTATCTTTACTAAAAACAAAAAATTAGCCGGGCATGGTGGTACAAGCCTGTAATCCCAGCTATTCAGGAGGCTGAGGCAGGAGAATGGGTTGAACCCAGGAGGCGGAGGTTACGGTGAGCTGAGATTGTGCCACTGTACTCCAGCCTGGGTGACACAGTGGGATTCCATCTCAAAAGAAAAAAAAAAAAAAGAGAGAGAGAGAGAGACAGAATCTCACTAGTTCAAGACCTTGCTTAGGCTGGTCTTGAACTCCTGGCTTCAAACAATCCTCTCGCGTTGGCCTCCCAAAGTGCTGACATTACAGGCATGAGCCACCATGCCCAACCTATATTCATCTTTATACCAATGTAGTTGTAAATATAACTTTTTTTTTTTAAATAGAAGAAGGGGCCCACAAAAGCAAAAGGACTTGAAGTCCTTTCTAAAGATTGCCACATAAAATACGGAAGGCCCAGTTACATTTGCATTTCAGATCAACAGTGAATATCTTTGTATAAATATTTTGCAAATATTGCATGGGGCATATTTGTGCTAAGAAAACAATTGTTGTTTATCTGAAATTCAAATTAACTGGGCATCTTGTATTTTTTATTTGCTAAATCTGGCAGGCCTGCAGGAAAGTCATAATGTGGCCCTGGCTGGCATGAAGTGCAGTTGCAGCCTTCTCTCTTGTGTTCTTGAAGGTAAGTGTTTAGGTCAGGCTCCCTGGAAACAGACCCTAACATGAGGATTTATGTACAAGTAATTTCTTCTAAAGAAGTGCTTTCAAGGGAGACAAGTGGGAGAGTGAGGGAATAGTCAGCGCAGGACAGGCAAGGAGGCCAAGCAAGGGTGAGTCTCAGGCCAGTCCCTATAGAAGGTAGCTTCAGTCTGACCCCATCTGAGTCACTTTAGAAATGTCCTAAAGGATATCTGGGGTCAGGCGCGGTAGCTCACACCTGTAATCCCAGCACTTTGGGAGGTCAAGACGGGCAGATCGTGAGGTCAAGAGATCAAGACCATCCTGGCCAACATAGGGAAATCCCATCTCTACTGAAAATACAAAAATTAGCTGGGCGTGGTGGCGTGTGCCTGTAGTCCCAGCTACTCAGGAGGCTGAGGCAGGAGAATCGCTTGAATCCAGCAGGTGAGTTTGCAGTGAGCCGAGACTGTGCCATTGCACTCCAGCCTAGCAACAGAGCAAGACTCCATCTCAAAAAAAAAAAAAAAAAAAAGCTATCTGGCCAGAGGATTGACGTTGTCATCTACACTAGACTGGAAACATGGCTGGTCCAAGTTCAAAGCTTAAAGAGAATAATCACCCTGCCCCTGTTGCTAGCTTTCATCTGGTTTTACTTCCTAACCTGTGCATAAGCAGTGCAAAGGAGAATGATGAAATCAAGCATATATAATGGCATGAAAGAAGGCAGCTCCCTCATGCTGGTCTGTACCTCACATTGGGGCGTCAGTACCTCACAGAGGAGGCCTGTACTTACAGGGGAGGCCTGTACTTACAGGGGAGGCTTGTACTTACAGGGGAGGCCTGGGCCTCACAGAGAAGCCTGGACCTCACAGAGAAGCCTGGACCTCACAGAGGCCGGCCTGAAGTTGGCAGTCCCAGCAGCTTACACAAGGGAAGGGATTTGTTACTTCAGAGGAGCAGCCTCGCTGTATTTTATACCTTTTTGCTGTTGTCCAGGAGAGGCCCATACCTCACAGAGGCATTATGTCAGAGCCCAAGGATCTGCCTTATCGTGAAAATAATTTCTTACCTCCGCCCCTCAGTGTTTTAACCCTTACTGCACCATCAAGGTTATCCCACAGCTCTGTAGGCTGAACGCAGCCCTGCCGTGTCACCAGCACAGGCAAGAGAGGGCATTGTGATGAGCCATGAGAGATAGGGATTTGACATTCTGCCTGCCCTCTCCACTGGGGAGCTTTCTCCTACCTCCAAGCCCAAGAGGAACACATACCCTTCGGGGTACCTCAGCACACCTCTGTCACTGATGACCCCTGCCATAAACATTCACATGCACATCTGCTCCCTGGGTGCCTGTGACCTCTGCGCTGGCAGGGATTGTGTTTTATTCATGTGGTTTTCCCACAGCACCTAGCCCATAGTAGCCCCTCAAATGTTGGCTATATGAACACACGAATGAATGAATGAAAGAATGAATGAATGAATGAATATAGGAATTTCATCTGCAGCTTTGCACAAGCAAGCACTTGCACCACAACTGGCCGGCGCTGAGTTACTGTAGGTGAGGTGTGTGTATGCAACTAGAGGCACCAAAAAATTAGTAGGAAACTGAAAAAACAGAGTCTTGTATCCAATGGCATCAAGCTTCATCCTGGTAGAGCAAGATGGGTATCAGCAGTCCCATCCACTGGAGGTGTTGTCTTCTGTGTGCCTGGGCCGCAGACTGAGGCCTTTCCCTAACCTGCACTGGAGCGTCCCGTTTGATTGATGGCTTTATTTTTACCTCCATTTCCAGGAATGGGAGCCTGGTCCTAGTCCACCTCCATTTCCTGTTTAGGGCCTAGCCTTTGCCCAACTCCTCACCAACCCCTTTCTTTTGGAGGCTTCCTGTGTCTTCCCTGCATCCCCAGCTCTAAAACATCCGGACCTGATGGGCAATAGCCTGGTGTGAAGAGCATCAGGAAATCTCATGGCCAGATTGGACCCCCGTGGCCTTAGATGCCAGCCTCAATCAGATCTACATTCAAGGTGTCTCCTGCCTCTCCTTCCCCAAAGCCTACTGGGCAGCCTACTCCCACAGCCAGAGGTGGGTGGGGGAGGCGAGGGCCCCGATGCAGGAGTGGACATTTCCGGGTTTGGATCTTGACTCTGACACTGACCAGCCGAGTGGTCTTGGGGAAGTTATTTCATCTCAGGTTCCTCATCAGTCAACTAATAATACGATCTCATCAGAAAGACAGAATTAAGTGAGATCACTTAGCAGATACACAAAACCATATCAATTCTTTTCCCTTGTGCTCTTGGGTCCCTACCTCTTCCTAAATTTCTCCTTCTCCACTTATCTTTGAAATGCAGGGTTCAAAGTGCCTTGCAGTCTGAGAAAGAGCCAGAGAGGCACTCTCCTTGAGTCCTACTCTGCAACCACGCCTTTCCGAGCGGCCGCTCTCTTGTATGCTGGGGAAGGGAGGATGACGTTAACCAAAAGGACCGGGCAGCAGACATGAGGAGCAACAAAGCACAAGACAAGCACACAGGGCACAGGTTGCTGAAAAGGGCACAGACGGCACGGCACATTCTGCCCAAGCTGGAGAGACAAACATGATTAGAAAGAGGCAGAATGGAATACACTCCTGACGTCAGTGGGCAAGAGGGGACGAAGCAATAAAGGGAAAATGCTGTAAAGGAAAACTGGAATTTCATTTTCACGGTTGGTTCTCAATTACTCAGGCTCGGTGGGAGGTTATACTTGTACCAAATGTAGCACCCAGAGTACGTGGCCGCTCCTCTCTTCCTGGAAGCAGAGTAATGGTTGCCATTCACTTTCTGATCCATTCAGTAAGTTCCTGGTGGGATCCTTCAGAAAGAGAGGTGCCCTGTGAAAGGGTGACATCCATTATGCTGCTACAGTTTCCTGCCCTTTCCACTTGCTTCCATTTCTGTCTCCTTCTCTTCCTGCCGTTTACCACAGCCAAGACATAGAATGACTAAGAAATTCAGTGATGGCTGTCCTCAATTTCCAGTTTAATTCAGATTATTTTCTGTGGGAAAAAAAAATCCTAAGGTTGATCTTTCTTTTTTTTTTTTTTTTTTTTAGAGACAGAATGTCACTTTGTCACCCAGGCTGGAGTGTGCTGGGGCAATCTCGGCTTGCTGCAACCTTTGCCTCCTGGGTTCAAGTGATTCTCCTGCCTCAGCCTCCCGAGTAGCTGGGATTACAGCTGCCCACCACCACACCTGGCTAATTTTTGTATTTTCGGTAGAGACAGGGTTTCACCATGTTGGCTAGGCTGGTCTCAAACTCCTGACCTCAAGCGGTCTGCCCACCTTAGCCTCCCAAAGTTCTGGGATTACAGGCGTGAGCCACTGCGTCCGGCCCCAAGGTTGATCTTTCAAGAAGAATCATTTAGTTACTTTTCGTGTTGTTTATTCCCCCAGTATCACCTATAATATGTTCATCACAAGAGGGGATGCAGGAGGAGTTAAGATGAGCTACTCAGTCCACATCGTCCGGTAAGAGAGGGATGTAGACAAATGATTCTAGGACAAGATATGCTAAAACTGCCACAAAGGGCTGTTCAAAGTGCTATGGGAACACCAAGAAATGAGTGACTGACAGTCTCAAAAGAGAAATTGCTTGAGCTGCCTTAAAGGATGAACCCCTTTGCTCAGATTTATAGATGGTCAGAAAACATTCCAAATGGAGAGAGCAATTCAACGAAGGCTCAGATGGGTGGACTGGCCTAACTTATGGGAGAATTTGGTTTGGCTGGAATACAGGGTATTTGGGGGAAGTAGCAAAAGCTGGAGCTAGATAGCTTAGCTGAAGCCTGATTACTACATTCACAAATATTTACTGAGCGCCTGCTATGCACCAGGAGCCATTCTATGTGCTTGGGATAGAACAGTCCTTGAGAGCATCGTGGACCCTGCTGTCTCAGGGCACACTCACCATGAGGCCTGCATAGGGAGAGGAGCCATCGGTTGTCAAATCAGGAAGTGCCTTTCTTTTTTTTTTGTTTTTTTGTTTTTTTGAGACAGAGTCTCACTCTTCGCCCAGGCTGGAGTGCAGTGGTGCCATCTCAGCTCACTGCAAGCTCCACCTCCCGGGTTCATGCCATCGTCCTGCCTCAGCCTCCCGAGTAGCTGGGACTACAGGCAACCACCACCACACCTGGCTAATTTTTTGTATTTTTAGTGGAGATGGGGTTTCACCGTGTTAGCCAGGATGGTCTTGATCTCCTGACCTTGTGATCCGCCTGCCTCGGCCTCCCAGAGTGCTGGGATTACAGGCTTGAGCCACCGCGCCTGGCCAGGAAGTGCCTTTCAGTGCTGTGCAAGGGAATGTGATCTTTCTGCAGTAGGAGCTCAGGGACCATTGAAAGATTTTAAATAAGGGAATGTAATGCTCATTTTGACCCTATAGAGAATTCATGGAAGATGGAAAGAAGATAAGTAAAACTGGGGACAGGGGACCAGTTAGGAAGCTACTGTTATAATCTAAGTGGCATATGACAAAAAACTGAGCTAGTCAGGAGAGGTGTTTCAGGAAGTGACCTGGATAGACAACCATGATATGATAGCAACATGACAGCTGCTCTTAAGCAAAGACCTCTCTTTTTAAATTATTATAGTAAAGCACACATAACATAAAATTTACCATTTAACCACTTTTCAGTGTATAATTCAGTGACATTTGGTACATTCACAGAGTTGTACAACTATCACCACTATCTTGTTCCAGAATATTTTCATCACCCTGAAAGGAAACTCCATACTTCCGAAGCAGTCACTCCCCATTCCCCTCTCCCGCACCTCCTGACAATCATCCATTTGCTTTCTGTCTCTATAGATTTGCCTACCCTGAATATTTCATATAATTAGAATTGTGGCCTTTTGTGTCTGGATTCTTTCACTTAGCATAATGTTTGCAAGATTCATCCATGTCATAGCACAGATTAGTTACTGCATTCCTTTTTATGACTGAATAATATTCCATTGTATGGATATACCATATTTCATTTATCTGTTCTTCAGCTGATGAACATTCAGATTGTTTCTACCTTTTGACTATTGTGAATAGTATGTGCTACTGTGAACCTTCATGTACAAGTTTTTGCCTAAATACCTGTTTCCAATTCTTTGGGGTATATGCCCAGAAGTGAAATTGCTGAGACCCCTCTTTTTAATTTAAACCTTTTAGTTCCCAGGAAAATTCATTTTTTTGAAAACTTACAAAAGCTTTGTTTGCTTGCTGGGGGATTATGAATGATAGGGAAGATATTTCTTTCAGTTTGTGATTTCACTGGGATCAATTTCAACCCTAAGCTTTTGCTCAGGGCCTGCCTTACTCTGATCTGTAAGAAGTGATCTCCAGCTGGGGCCTGAGTTTGTTGAAGTGGCCACAGAAGCAAATTGTCATGGACTCCTTGATCTAGAGACATATGGTCAAATTTCTTGACCAAAATAGACTCCATATTGTCTGTCCTGATTTCCTGTCTGGGTTGTTCAAGGAAAGCCTGAGGGCACCAGTGTTGATAATTAGAGACTCTCTGCTTCTGACCTCAGCACCTGCTTCAGGATTTAGGATGATTATCATTCCATGGCCATTTGAAGGACAAATGCAACACTGTTTCTTTCATTAGCCATAGTATGGTCTTCTAGAATGACTAAATGAAGTTTAGAGATACCTTAGCCATTTTGGTTTTACATGTGAGTTGGGTGCATGATAAATGCTGTCTGAATTTTTCTAGCTGTACTGATATGGCCTAGTGGAAATAACATCTTCTCTGGTCCTGACCAAGCTCAGTTTGAATTATGTCACTTTGTAACTATATGACCTTGGGCAAGTTATTTAAATCTCTGAGCGTAACATCCCTCATTTGTAAAATAAAAGCAATAATACCATCTGTAGATGGATGCCTTGGTTTTGGCTGAGGACCCAAAATACTGAGAAAAAAAAATAAGTGGCAAGCTTTCCCCTTTTGCAAAAAATAAGATACTAGAACACATTTGCAAGACTACGGAGCCATCCTGGAACCAGTTCTCTGACCCCTAGCTCTGTCCACCTCAAAGGTATGACCCAGGCTGAAATCATAAAGTCCAGAAGTTGAAATTAGATTTCTTGGAAAGAGTTGTCAGAGAGATAGGAGTTTTATTCTTTCCTTTGGAGAGAGCTAAGACATGTTTTTCTTTCACTACAAGCTTAGTGAGAAAGCTCCATAGAAACCCTAATTCCTAAAATCAGAAATAAGATGAGGATGTTTGCTTCACTATTCCTAACATTTTATTGAAGGTTGCAGCCAGTGCAATAAGGCAAGAAAAAAGAAGTAAAAGGCATACGCATTGTAAAAGAAGAAATACAACTATTTCTATTCAAAGATGACATAATTTTCTACACAGAAAATCTCAGAGAATCTGCAAAGAAACTACAAGGGCCAATAAATGAGATTAGTAAGATTACAACATACCAGGTCAAAAACCAAAAATCAATTGTATTTTTAGACACTAACAATTAACAACAGGGAATTAATTTTTTAAAGTATTTTTTAACAATAGCATCCAAAGACATGATATATTTAGTTATAAACCTAAAACAATATGTATAAGATCTAGATGTTAAAAGCTATAAAACACTGATGAAATAAAAAAGAAAAGCTAAGTAAGTAGATGGTTGGACTGGAAGACTCAGAATTGTCAAGATGGCAGTTCTTCTCAGACTGATCTGTTGATTCATTGCAATTCCAATTCAGGATTTTTTTTTGTAGAATAGACAAGTTGATTCTAAAATTTATATGGAAAGGCAAAGGAATACTTTTGAAAAAGGTCAAAATTTGAGGACTCACACTATCTGATTTCAAGGCTTACTCTAGAGCTAGAGTAACCAAGGCAGTATGATATTGTCAAAAGAAAATACACAGATCAAAGAAATAGAAGTCCAGAAACAGACCCATACATACATATCAATTGATTGTTGACAAAGATACAGACAAGCCAACGGAGAAAGGATAGTTTTACAACAAATGGTGCTAAAACAATTGGACATCTATAGGCAAAAGTGAACCTTGTTCTATTCGTTGCACCATGAAAAAAAATTAACTCAAAATGGGTTATAAACTTTAATGTGAAGTCCAATACTATAAAAGCTCTAGAAGAAAATGTCGGAGAAAATCATTGTGATCTTGGGTTAGGCAAAGATTCTGTAGTTACAAAACTAAAAGCATGATTCCTAAAAGAAAAAAATGCTATATTAGAGTACATCAAAGTTGAAAACTTCTGCTCTTCAAAAGGCACTGTTAAGAGAATGAAAAGACAAACTACAGACTGGGAGAAGATATTTGCAGCACACTTATCTGATCCGTACTATGTAAAAAACTCTAAAAATTTAATTAAAAACATAATTTAAAAGTAGGCAAAGATTTGAACTGGTGCTTCATCAAAAGTAATATATGGATGGCAAATAAATAGATAAAGAGATGCTCAGTGTCATTAGTTGTTAAGGAAATGCACATTAAAACTATAAGATACTGCTCTACATTTATTAGATTGGCTAAAATAAAAAATTGGCAATACTAAGTGCTGACAAAGATGTGGGACAGCTGGAACTTTCACATAGTGCTGGTGGATGCAGAATGGTACAGCTACAGCTGTCGTGGAAAACAGTTTGGCAGTTTCTTATAATATTATCCAACAATCCT